GTCTCACCATCCTGGCTTCCAAGGAGCGTTCTGACTGTACTTTCTTCTAACACAGATTTGTTCATTCTCAGACAATTCATGGTATTTTTAATATTCTTCACCAATACCGTAATGAAAATGCATTGATTTCTTCTCTGGTTTTCCTTATTCATTGTCTGTCTTTCACATGCATATCAGGTCACTGAAAACACCATGGTTTGAATCAGGTACACCTTAGTCCTCAAAGTGACATCTTTGCTCTTGAACACTTTAAAGAGATCTTGTGCAGCAGACGTGCTCAATGCAATATGTCATTTGATTTCTTGACTACTGTTTCCCTAAGTGTTGATAGTGGCTCCAAGTAAAATGAAGTCTTTTATAACTTTAACTTTTTCCTCTGATTATCATGATGCTGTTTTTTGTCTCAATTGTGAGGACTCTTATTTGTGTTGAGATGTAATACCTACTGAAGGTTGCCATCTTTGATCTTCATCAGTAAGTGCTTAAAGTTCTCTTCATTCTCAGCAAGTAAGGTTGTGCCATCTGCATATCAGGGGTTGTTAATAAGTCTCCATCCAATCCTGATGCCACATTCTTCTAAATATTGTCCAGCTTTTTGGGTTATTTGCTTAGCATACAGATTGAGTAAGTATGGTGAACGGATACAACCCTAACATACACATTTTCTGATTTTAAACCTTGGACCACAAGGTTGGTTTAAACCACAAAGTCTGTGGTTCAAAGTCACAGCCACTTCATGGAAACCCTGTACAGGGTCGCTATGAGATGGAACCAACTCGATGGCATTTAGCGGCAACCATTTGTTCTAATGACTGCCTCTTGGTCTATGCACAGGTTCTGCAAGAGGGCAATTAAGTCTTCTGGCATTCTCATTCCTTACAATGTTATACTTAATCTGTTATGATCCACACAGTTGAATACTTTTGCATACTCAATAAAACACAGGTAAACATCTTTCTGGAATTCTCTGCTTTCAGCCAAGAACCATCTGATACCTGCAATGATATCCCTCATTCCACATCTTCTTTTTAATCTGGCTGGAATTTCTGTGCAATTCTCTGTCGATGCACTGCTGCAATCATTTTTAAATTATCTTCAGCAAAATTTTTAATGAATGCTATTGTGTGATGTGTGATAATTTTTGCATTCGGTTGGATCACCATTCTTTTTTTTTTTTTTTAACATGGGCACAAATATAGATATCCGCCAATTGGTTAGCCAGGTAGCTGTCTTCCAGATTTTATTCCTTAGTTGAGCGAGCACTTTCAGCATTGCATCTGTTTGTTAAAACATCTCAATTGCTATTCTTCTGATTCCTGGGCCTTGTTATTTACCAATGCCTTCAGTGAAGCTTGGACATTGTCCTTCAAAACCAGCAGATCTTGATCACATGCTACTCCTGAAATAAGCTCTTTTTGGTACAGTGGATGTTCTATTCCTTCCATCTTCTTTTGATGCTACCTGCATCAATCCATATTTTGCCAATAGAATCCTTTTATATTGCACTTGGGGCTTGGATTTTTCTTCAGTACTTTCAGCTTGAGCAATGCTGAGCATGTTCTTCCTTTTTGATTTTCTAACTGTACGTCTCTGCACATTTCATTATAATACTTGACTTTGTCTTCTCGAAATGCACTTTGAAAATCTTCTGTTTAGCTCTTTGACATCATCATTTCTTCCATTCATTTTAGCTTCTTTGCTTTCAAGAGCAAGTTTCAGATCTCTTCTGACATCCATTTTGGTATTTCCTTTTCTTTCTGTGTTCAGGAACCCCTATTCAATTGCTCATATGCTAGTTCACATTAAAGCTGAAGAAAATTAAAGCAAGACTTGGAAAGCTAAAGTAAGACCTTGAGTGTATCTTATCTGAATTTAGAGACCATCTCAAGAACAGATTTGGTTCATTAAACACTAATGACTGAAGACTAGATGAGTTATAGAATGACATAAAGGACATCATACATGAAAACAGCAAATGGACATTAAAAATACAGGAAAGGGAATGTTTGAATGTGAAACCGATGATGTGCCCTGAAAACTTTCACTCAATCCACAATAAAAACCTTTAAAAAAAAAAAATACAGGTAAGGAAGAAAAGACCATAAAGACTAAAGTCTAGAGAACCCTATTGGGCAGTTCTTCTGTGTCTTAGGGGCTTACTATGAGTCAAAATTGACTCAATGGTATCGAGCAACAACTCTTTCTCCTTCATCAGGAGAGTGGGTTGAAAGTCTAGGCTAATGAAAAACTTAGAGGGTCCCCCACTCAGTCTTGTTCCCTGATTCAAGAGTTGCCATTGGGAATGCAGATTGGTGTAGCCTTTATGGAGGGCAATCACTGTACATTGTGCATACCCGTTGAGCTAGCAACTTCCCTTCCAGTAACAAAAACTTCTAGGAGTTTTTGCTGGTTTGTTTTTTTCTTTAAATGGGTCAAGGATGTTCATGACAGTATGGTGTGTAGTAGCAAAAAGAGAGAGATTTAATTCCTAGTAGATGTATTCAATAATGGAATGAAACCAAACCATACTGTAGTATCCAGGTTGCCAAAGAACAATGATGTCACAAACCTACATGTATTAGCAAAAATAAAGAGTTCAGTGATGAGCTATGGTTCAGTAAAGCGAATGATGGAATAATTTAGAACTCAGTGAGAAAGAAGACAACATAGTTACCTCCAGCGTAGCAGCACTGGTTTTGCTTTCGCAGGCAGCATCCAGTATGTTGGAGGTGGCATTCATTAGTGCACAGAAGGACATCTGTATCTCCAAGAGAAGAACGCTGATTGGTCATTTGCATGGCATGTCACATTGGCGGACACCCAGCCCAGCAAGGAGGGTGGTATGGTGGTGCTGCTGAGGCTGCCAGACCTCAGCCAAGGTCCTGAACTCCTGAGATACCATTTGTTTCCAGGATTCTCATGGATGTAAAACTCACCATTTGATCACAACTGGAATAACATCACCTCTTTTACTTCCATGAATGAAGAAAAACAAAGCCAAACAAACAAAAAACTCCATGAACAGTAAAATTAGTTCATGGGGAAATGGGCTAAAAACATATGAGATGGGGCAAGATGGCAGAGTAAGCAGATTCATTGAGTCAACCCTCTGCAACTGAGACATGGGAAACCAAGTGAAACAGAAACAGATGGTGATCCTGGGACTATGAGCATCAGAGGAGAAGACAGAGGTGGACTGAGTGTGACTAGAAGAGGAATCTGAACAGGAGCAAGTGAGAGAGAAGAAAAATGGGCAGCTAGCATGGAGCAGTGTGACCATCTTGAGCTTTTGCAGTGGTCTGTAGGCACAGGGTGTAGCTGGAGATTGTCGGAAAGGGGTTGCAGTTCTCCTTTGTTCCAGTGCCATCCTGGTAAGTGGAGGTGTTGCCTGTTTACATACTCACTAACCAGCAGCCAGTGGCACCCCATCCTGCACAACCTGTGCTCTTCTTGTGGTCAGGCACTGGGCATTGCATCCTTCCTCCTGGTGGTGCACGAGCCTGCCTTGAACTGTGCTGCACAGACAGTGAACAGGGAACTAACTATGTTCACATGTCCAGTCTCTACCACATCCACCAGGAGACAGGTGGTAAGTACATGAGAACACGCCACTATACAATCACCAGTTAGTTATAAATACAGCACCACCATGTCTTGGAGAAAATAGACAAGTTCAGCTTATACAAAAATAAGACAGGGGACCTCAAACAAGTGATCAAATTACAGAGTCAGGAAATGTAACACCAGAAATGGTATCAGAACTACCTGAAAAGGAATTTAAAATAAGGCTAATTAGGAATTTCAAAGGATAAAGAGAATGATGGAGAAAACTACAGATTCAGTCAAGGAAAACAGATAAAACTATGGGGAAAAATTGAAAAAATGGGAACTATATAAAATTAGCAATTAGAAAGCCAGAAGATTAACACTCAGGCTTCAGAAATAGGTAGTACACTGAAAGGACAAAGAAACAGAACTGAATCAATGGGAAGCTGAATTACTGAGCTTAAGGAAAAGTCTCTCAGTAACAATCTGTTAGAGGAACAATCAGACAAAAAGAACAAAAATATCTGAAGAAAAGCTGTATGATAAGCACTGGACTGTTAACTGCAAGGTTGGCAGTTCAAATCTACCAGCCACTCCTCCAAAACCCTATATAGGGTTGCTTTGAGTTGGAACCAACTTGTTAATTCGACAGCACTTAACAATACCACCAAGGTGGATAATTAACACGCAATAGGATTTCTAGAGCATGTTGATGTTGTCAAGTGCCGTTGAGTCAATTCCAACCCATAGAGACCTTGTATATGGTTTCCAAGGAGTAGCTGGTAAGCTTGAACCACCAACCTTGCAGTTCAAACGACTTTGCACTCTGGCGCATTAACCCATCAGCGCCACACCAGGACTCCTAGAGCATAAAGAGACCCAAAGAAGAAAATATTGTCTGAGGGTTGTTGGAAAACTTCCCTAACATCATGAAAGATACAAAGCTAGTCATTCAACAAGTTGAATAGACTCCAAACAGGATAGACAACAAAAGAAAAGTACCAAGACATATTATAAGCAAACTTTTCAAAACCAAAAACAAGGAAAGAATCCTGAAAGCAGTTAAGGAAAAAACAAAAATTACCTACAAAAGAGAAATGGTAAAATTTCAATATAGTGTCCCCTTCTTCTTTTAGTAAAATAATTCCCAAGATTTGCACAGGCAAATGTCTTCCCTTCTCAGCTTCCCTTGCAGCTAAGTGTGATCATGTGACTAGTTTTGGGCCAATGCGATGTAAGCAGAGGTGATCCTGTGTCATACTCTTAAAGGATAGGACTGCATGTTCCACTTTCCCAGATAGAATGCAGATGTGATGGCAGGTGCTGAAGCAGCCATCTTGGGCCACAAATGGGAATTGTGTTGATGATGATAGAGCACATTGAACCACGATATGAACTCCTGGAAGCTTCTGCTCAGACTGTTACAGAGGAAAGAAAGAAATTGCTACTTGGTTTAATCTGTAGCTATTTGGGACTTTCTTAGAGCTATGGAAACAATATCCTAATCAATTGGCTTTTAGAAAAACCTTAAGAGCTATGGACATTTGAAATTACTTACATATTCAGGCTCCATTGCTTTCCTGCCTTGGCATTGCTGGACTTGGTCGTTACTAGATATAATATCTTCTTTACACTTGATGGGAATTCCTAAGAAGAAAATAAAAGCCACCAAATTTCAACCACATGGTAAAAGAAGTCTAATTACTCCAATCCCATTCTGAAATGGACAATGGTGAAAATGAACAGTCATACACTACGACACAGGGGATTCTGAGGAGCTTGGTACTGAGTGAAAAGAAGCAAGCCAGAAAACATTATACATAGTATGAGGTCACTTTTTTAAAGTATGCAAGCTTAACAAGATATTGTGTTGTTATTGAGGACCCTTGAGTCACTTTTGACTCATGACAACCCCGGGTGACAGAGTAAGAGCTGCCTTATCGGATTTTCTAAGCTGTAATCTTTATGGGGGCACAGTGTTAGGTCTTTCTTCCACAGAGTCACTGTGTGGGTTTGAACAGTCAACCTTTGCATTATCAGTGAGCACTTCACCATCGTGCCACTGGAGCTTTCCATATATTGTGTGGTAGTGGTGGTTGTGTTCTGTTGAGTTGGTCCTGACTCATAGTGACCCTGTATAGGGTTTCTGAGGCTCATCATTCTCCTGCAGAGCAGCTGGCTGGTAGATTCAAACTGCTGGCCTTGTAGTTAACTGCCCAACGCATATCCCACTAAGCTACCAAGGCTCCTTCACACACTGTGTAGAGTTACATAAGCCAAAAATATCCAATCCGGTGCTATCGAGTCAATTGCGACTCATGGCAACCCCATGTGGCACAGAGTAGAATTGTGCTTCATAAGATTGGACTGTAGTCTTACAGAAACAGATCACCAGAACTTTCTTCCTCAGTGCCGCTGAGCGGATCCTAACAGGCAACTTTTTTCTCGGCTGCTGTTGTTTTTAATAGAGTCGATTCCAACTCATAGCAATCCTGTATGGGGTTTTGAAAGAGCAGCTGGTGAGTTTGTCCAGTGTTTACCCTAAAGTGTCATACCAGGAGTCCTGAGTGCAGACTGTTTTATGAGAGTCCTCGATAAATAAGTGTTGTTGTTGTTATTAAGTGCCATGGAGAAAGTTCCAACTCATAGCAACCCTGTATAGGGTTTCTGAGGAGGGGCTAGTGACTTTGAACCACCAACCTTGTGGCTCAAAAAAACTTTTTGGTCCAGTGCTTATCTTTCAGTGCCACAACAGAACTCCCAACAAATAAATGGTTGTTGCTGTAAAGTACAACAGAGTTGGGTTCTGACCCATAACAACCCTGTATAGAGTTTCCAAGGAGCAGCTGGTGACCTTGAGCCATCAGGCCTCCTGGTTCAAGTGGACTTTGCAGTCCAGTGCATTAACCACCAGCAGTACACCAAGACTACAAATGTAAGCACTTAGGGACTCCAAAATTAGCTTATTGAATGAGTGAATTAATGAATTAATGAATGAGTGAATTAGTAAATGAATTACTAATACATAGGAAACTCTCTGGATGTGGTGAAAGTTAGAGAAGGAGCAGAGCTAGAGTGAGGATTTTATGACCAAAACAAGACACGACTCTATTGAAAAGACATGCAGGAGATGTTTACTTGTGCAGCTAAAGTTGCTGTCTTTCCAGGAGTCTTCTGGGTTGTGGTGAAAGCCCACCATGCAGTTACAGCTGTAGGATCCCAGGGTATTGGTGCAGATAGAATGGGGGCCACACAGTGATGGATCTTTGGAGCACTCATCAATGTCTGCAAAAAACTCAAGAATATCAAGACACTTAGAAAACTCGAGAATATCAAGACATCCAGAGGCACAAAGGGATTTTTCTCTCTAAGTTGACCACCAAACCCTCTACTCTCCTACACATTCTACCCCTTGGTCTGTGAAGTTCATCTCTCCATTGTTCGGTGCAAAGCCAGGCTGACAGGTATAGAAAAAACTCCCAGAAGTGTTAGTGCATGTTGAGTTGGAGCCACACACATTAATGCATTCATCAACATCTATGATGTAGACAACAAGGTTGAGGAGGGTTGGCCAACTGTCCAAGAAAAGTCAAAGATTATGCATGCTTACCAGGGATGGGAGGAAGGGAGAAAGGAGGAATTTTTGCATGGAGGGCATTAAGTTTATGTTTATAGAGGTGGAGTATTTTGGATAGGGACAGCAATAATAGGAGCATAGCATAGAAAGGGTGACCAGTGTCGTTGGACTACAAATGTGACTGTTGTTATATGGATGAATGTTTTGGCATGTAGATTTTTGCCACATTAAAATCATAAACCCACTGCTATCTAGTAATTTCTAACTCATAGTGACCTCATAAAGGATTTCTGAGATTGTAAATCTTTATGGGAGCAGACAGTCTCATCTTTCTCCTGCAGAGCAACTGGTGGGTTTGAACCAGTGACTTTGTGGTTAGCAATTCAGTGCTGATTCTACCAAGGCTCCTTAAAAAATAAATAAATATAAGTCATGCTTCCCCTTCCAAGGGATAGAATTGTCACGAGAAATTGGTGGTCCCATCAAGGATTATATTTCCACCCTGGCTACACCTGTTGTTGAGTGCCTCCAAGTCAGTTCTGACTCATAGTGATCTTGTATAGGCTTCCCAAGGAGTGACTGGTGGGTTTGAACCACCAACCTTGCAGTTCAAACCAACCTTACCATCAGGGGCCATATGACTAATTTTCACCCATGGAGTGTGATAAAGTATGATTGTTATCATTATGTGCCGTCGAGTCAGTTCTGACTTACAGTGACCCTGTATAGTGTTTGTAAGGAGCGGCTTGTGGGTTTGAACTGCTGACCTTGCAGATAGCAGTCCAGTGCTTATCCTACAGGAGCCCTGATGGCACGCTTGATTAATCATTTGTCTTGCTCACCAAAAGATTGCAGTGCTCACCCACCAGCCACTCTAGAGAAGAAAGATGAAGCTGTCTCCTCCTGTAAAGATTTATTGTCTTGGAAGCCTTATGGGACAAAATTGGCTTAATGCCATTGGGTTTCATTTTGGATAATGTAGATTGTCTAAGGAGACCTGATTTGGCAGTGGTTGAAGCTCTCAGTTACTAGCCAAAATGTCTAAGCTATCAACTGTGTTCTGTGAGGAAAACAGTCTGCTTCCATAAGGACAGATTTACAACCTTGGAAACCCTAAAGAACAGCTCTGCTCTGTTCCACAAGGCCACTGTAAGTCAGAATCCACTCAACGGTGGTGGGTTATGGGACAGGGTGGTTAAGTGGGTATACCTCCCTCTTCTCTCTTTTTCTCCCCCTGGCTGGAAGCAGGAGATTCAAGGCCCTAAAGAATAGAGAACAATGGAAGGAGATCGGTTCCACCACGTGAAAGAAAGCTGCCGCTGACTAGTAACACCCACACTGAATTGTTGTAAGACTGAGAAACGTCTGTCGCGTTAAGCCAGCAGTTCTCAATGAAGGTGTCTTTGTCTTCCTCCAAAGGGACTTTTGGCAATGTCACAAATTAGGGGTGCTGTTAGAGTCCTGGTGTGATGCTGTAGGAAAAGCACTGGACTGCTAGCCACAAGGTCAGTGGTTCAAACCTACCAGTCACTCCTCAGAAACCTTATACAGTCAGTTGAAACTGACTTGACAGCACTTAACAATAACTGACATTTACAAAGGGCCCCGATGGTATGGTTGGTTTAACATCGGGGTTGCTAACAGAAAGATCAGTGGCTCTACATGAGAAAGATGAGGCAGTCTACTTATGTAAAGATTGTTGTTGTTAAGTGTCATTGAGTCAGTTCTGACTCATAGCAATCCTGTACAGGCTTTCTGAGGAGCAGCTGAGTGGTTTAAACATTGAGTGGTTTAAAATTATGAAGTTGTATTATAGGGTTGTATTCTTTCACCATACTTATTCAACCTGTATGCTGAGCAAATCATCCGAGAAGCTGGGTTCTATGAAGAAAAATGTGGCATCAGGATTGGAGGAAGACTCATTAACAACCTGCAATATGCAGATGATACAACCTTGCTTGCTGAAAGTGAAGAGGACTTAAAACATTTACTGATGAAGATCAAAGAGAACAACCTTCAGTATGGATTACATCTCAATGTCAAGAAAACAAAAATCCTCACCACTGGACCAATAAACAACATTCTTATCAACGGAGAAAAGACTGAAGTTGTCAAGGACTTCATTCTTCTTGGATCAACTATCAACACTCATGGAAGCAGCAGTCAAGAAACAAAACAACGTATTGCATTAGGGAAATCTGTTGCACAGGAACTTTTTAAAGAGTTGAAGAGCAAAGATGTCAGCTTGAGGACTAAGGTGCGCCTGACCCAAGCCATGGTATTTTCAATAACCTCATATGCATGTGAAAGCTGTACAGTGAATAAGGAAGACCGTAGAAGAATTGATGCATCTAAGTTATGGTGTTGGAGGAGAATATTGAAAGTTCCATGAGCTGCCAAAATAACCAACAGATCCATGTTGGAAGTGCAGCCCGAGTGCTCCTTGGAGGCCAGGATGACCAAACTTTTTCTCTCATACTTTGGACATATTGTCAGGAGGGACCAGTCTCTGGAGAAGGATATTATGTTTGGTAAGGTGGAGGGTCAGAGAAGGAGAGGAAAACCTCCAGTGAGATGGATTGGCACAGTGGTAGCATAAATGGACTCAAGTGTGGCAACAATAGTGAGGTTGGCCCAGGATCATTCAGTGTTTCATTTTGTTGTGCGTAAGGTTGCTATGAGTCGGTACTGACTCAATGGGACTTAACAACAACAACAACAACAGCAACAACCCCTACTCTAGAGGGTGAAGAACAGAAAATGTGTCCTGCATTTTGGTAGATAGTCTCCAAAGATGGTGTTACAGATTGAAGTGTGTCCCACGCAAAATACGAGGAGGCTTCAAAAAGTCCACGGAAAAACGAACTTGGAAGATAATGGAATCTTTCCACGAAAGTTTTGAAGCTCTCACTTTTGTGTTGTAAGCCTCTAACCCTGTGGATGTGATCCTGTTGGGGGAAAGGTTTCTTTGTTATGTTAATGGAGCCATATCCCTGTAGGATGTGCCCTAAATAAAGCAGCTTTAAGATATAAAATGAGCACAGAAGAAAGCAAGGCCAGACCCAGGAAGGTAGATACAATACGAAGACCACCAAGGAACCCAGGAAGAGAAGCGAAAAGAGACAAGGATTTCCTCCAGAGCCCACAGAGAGAGAAAACCATCTCCTAGACCCAGTGCCCTGAATTTTTAAGAAACTAACCTCTGTTTCTTTAAGCTACCCCCTTTGTGCTCTTTCCCTTATAGCAGCACTAAGAAACTAAGACACATGTTTAAACATCTCTGATCATCTGCCACGTGGCATGTGATGAGGACTCAGTCACTCTGAGCTTTGTTTGATGGATTCACCGTCCCTATAAATGGACACAAAGAATAATTGTGCCGCACAGACTTGGGGAATGTTAAGTTCTTGTCTTGTAGCTGTGACAAGACAATTCTGGCTGTGGTATGTCTATTACAGATTGTTATCATTGTTGTTAGCTGCCATCCAGCCTCCAACTCATGGTCGCCATATGCTCAATGAGATCTGACTGTTGTGATCCATAGAATTTTCACTGGCTGATTTTGGAAGTCAATGGGCAGACCTTTCTTCCTGTGGTCTTAGTCCAAAGTCTCTTCTGAAATCTGTCCAGCATCACAGAAGCCTCCATTGACAAGAGCAGTATGGTGGTGCTTTGGCAAGGAATCAAACCCCAGTCTCCCACATGGAAGGTGAGAATTCTGCCACTGAGCCATCACTATTCCCCTCTGGCTGCAGTGTGGAGAATGGATCCAAGACAAGCCTGGAGATGGGGAGCTGGTGAGGAGGGAGCTACAGCACTAAAGGCCAAACCAAGGATGAAAAAGACTGAGGGGCTCAAGAGATTCCCCAAGAATTGAAGACCCACTTGATATGGAGCAAGAGGGAGGAGGGTCAAGAATATCCCTCAGGTCTTAATTCAATTGCCTACAGGAGAAAGTTCCAAAGTTTGCATTTGAGCTCTCTCTAGGGTAGGGTTCGCACAGCAGTACAATTGACCTTTGGGGACCTGATTATTCTTGATTGTGGGGGACTGTCCTGCATATTGTCGGGTGTTGAGCAGTATCCCTGGCCTCTACCCACTCAGTACCAGCAGACCTTTTCCAATTAGAATCATCAAAATGCTCTCTGCTAAGTGGAGATGGTTACACAGTATGATGAATGGAATTTACTGTACATGTGGCAAAAGCCTGTTACATATTTGGTTGTTGCTGGAGTTCATTGTTATCCGCTAGACCCTCTGACTCATGGCGACCCCATGCACAACTTATCAAAAAGCTGCCCAACCTGATGCTAGTCCCATGATCAAGCCTTTGTGATCCATAGATTTTCATTGGCTGATATTATAGAAGTTGATCTCCAGACCTTTCATCCTTGTCTCTTTTACTTCAGAAGCTAAAACCTGTTCAGTATCACAGCAACATGTGAGCCTCCAATGACGATGGTTAGACGCTTCACATGAGCTGCATTGAACAGCATCGAACCTGGATCTCCCGCACTGCTGTTGTTGTTAAGGGCCATCGAGTCAGTTCTGACTCATAGCAACCCTTACAGGGTTGCTGACGAGGGGCTCATGGATTTCAACTGCTAACTTTGTGGTTAAGTGTCCAGTGCTTATCCTTCAGCTTCTCACCAGGAATTCTAGTAAGGAAGTATTAATACCACTACACATATATTTCTTTTTTTGTATTTTACCACAATAAAAGATTTTTAATGTTGAAATGGCAAATGTTTTGTTATGTATACGGGGCGGGGGGATGTAGGAAGCCAGAGCCTTCCAAGGCTCATGACTACCTTGAAACCAAACTTGCCTAGCAACAGTTACGTCAGCACTAGAAACTTACAGGTGAATTTA